CATTCATTCAACTTTAAGTATTAAAAAAAAGTTTGATCTTATTTATTAGTATAGAATTTTAGCCAAAAAAGAATTAAATGAGTTTTAATCAACACGAATACAATAAAAGGATTGAGAATCCACAAGTAATTATGACGTGAAGTGTAGAATAATACTAATATTTGAATTAAATTAATATGTAACATCTTATATTAAGATAAAATTAACTCTTTAATCTTAGTTTAGTACATAAATAACCTTAAAGATGGGGAGACATGGTGGAAAGTATACCAAAAAAACTACTTCATTGTGTCTTTTTTCTTTTTATTTTTATCTCCTCCTGATTTTAAGTTGTTTTCATCCCTACATGTGTTCACTAGTTTTGCAAACTATACGTATAACAAAAAAACTATGTTTATTTCTTTCATATACAAAAACTCCTAATGTTATTGATGCATGATGAGTAAAGGAAAATAAATTATGAAAATAAATAATGAAAATAAATATTATTATATTACAAAAATAAGATGCTTTGAATTAATGCAATTCATTCTATGAATGTGAACATGGTAGATATGTAGTTACATCTCCATTCTTTCTATGACTGAAGAACCATTCAGTGGCCACTGCTTTCTGCAAGTTTCCGCGTAGAATTGACATTAATTGGATGGTAATAGCTACATTAAATAGTTTTTGGAAATTTCTTCACATTCATAGGAAGCCAACTGAGATAAAAAAAATACAAAAGAAGAGTTAAAGATTAAAGAGAAAAACCAATCCACTCTAAATAATTAAATAATCAGTAATTACAATTTTCAATCTAAAGACAATCACCTGTTCAATCTTACGCGTCATTCAATAATCCAATAACTTTCATTTGCATAATTACAATGCACACAACTTAGAGATAAAGTTCGGAAATAATCATTGAGGTACTTTTCAATTACCAGTTTTCCAATAAAAAAATATTTATTTTTATTTGTTATTTGAAGATTTTAAAGTAACTAATTTTTTTAATTGTTTGCTGAATTTAATTAATCTAAAGAGAAAAAGATCATTTATGATAACAGAGAAAGAAGATATAATAGCACATAAATGTACATTGAATAAAAAAACTGAAAAAGAGTAAACTTAAAACAAATTAAACGATTTTCCTTATTTAAAAGAGAAAATTTAGTTATAAATAAACACAGGAAGAATACAAGGGTAAAAAATTGAAAGAATTAAAATCTAGCATTAATTTATCTTAACTAATCTAAAGGGTGTGTAAGAAAAACTGATCTAAAAGGTAAAAAAAAAAGATTGGAAGTAATTGCAATATTTAGTTTGGAAAATAGTTGAGTCGACAGGGAAACGGTGGTAGGTATGTGGCGAAGAAAAGTCAAACGAATGAGTGTTGCTGTTTCTCCTGCAGAATTGATGAGTGAAAATGGCCTTAAAAGATGTTTGGGGAGGGATTTGGAGCAAGTGGGAAGAGATAAAAGCAAAAGGGTATTAATAAGAAAGCTTAGTTGAAGTTAATATTATCATTAATTGATTTCTCACAGCACCTGTGCATGGTGTCCAAGTGGAGTGCTGAGCGAGTTTGGGAATCCACATATGACCTCAGAAGTGAAGCAACTGTACAAGTAAAGGAACAGCAAAATCCGCAATTATACTCTGCTGCGCGCCCCACAGGCACAAAAAATAAAAAAACAATCACGTGGTTCATATCCCTTCCATCAGGCCAACTTCCATTCAAATCAAATCACCATGTGCTCACCTCATCACACTCTCTGCCACATGGCTCACTCTCAGTGAACCACTGCACCATGCACAAAGGCACTCCACAGTACTGTAAAATACTCAAGTGGGTGGTATCAGAGAGAGCCCATGCAATGCACCCCAGTTTTGAAGGGCAAAGAGAGAACCCTCCCTCCCACACTCCTGCTGCTATTCTACCGAGGAGAGAATGCGTGTGAGTGTGTATGAGATAATGTGGTGGTGGGTGGGTGTGGTTGGGTTTATTACAAGATGAAAGAAGGAGAGAGAGAGAGATGAAAATGAAAAACGCCATTGATTTCTGTTGTAAGTTTTCAGAACTTTTGCAACAGGTGGAGGGCGTTATCGAGCCCCATGTTTCCTGTGTCTTCACCATACATCCGTCACTCCCTGCTTGGCTACCATCTAACCACCACCATCACCACCACAACAGCACCAACCCCTATGCGCAAACCAAACCCATCTCGCTTAACCCTGGTTTGCACTCACCCCCTATTCACACGCAGCCACATTGTCCTCATTAACTCTCCTCTCTCCCTCCTCCACATTATTGTAAACACCACAAAGCGCCAAAACCAAAACCATCCATGAATCCGCTCTTCACATTTGGTCACCACTCTGATTAACCCACTACCCAACCCATCTACTCAAGAGAGAGAGAAAGAGAGAAAGAGAGAAAGAGAGAAAGAGAGAAAGAGAGTTCATTATAGTATGGTAAAAGTAAAAGGAAGCAAGGGGAGAGGATGGGGTGAGGCGTGAATGCAGGATAAACAAATGTCATAAAAACCAGACCCTGTAATCCCAAAAATCCTTGCTAAAAATAGAAAAACTCCAAACAAAAAAAAAATTTATGGAGAGAGGATGGGTTGGGGGAAGAGAAGAGTGAAAGATAGTCCACCATTGATCTCTTTAACACCAAACCCCACACCCATTTCGTGATTGCCGAGCGTCGTCCATACCCGACCCTATCTATCTATATCTGCCTGCACACACTCAGACTGAGAGAAAGGGAGCCAACAACTACAGTCACAGAAAACCAAAAGCACTGTGTGTGTCTCTCTAAAACAACCAAAAAAAAAGAAAAAACCCTAAGCTAATGATGATGGATCAGCGACAGCGAGAGAAACTGCTTCGCAAAACCGAGGCCTGTGCCTTCGTGGCAGGTGTTGCTGCCGACCTTCGACTTGTCGCCGCCCCAGGAGACATCCCCAACACCAACAACGTTAACAGCATCACCAACACCACCAGCACCAGCAGCAACGTATCTAAATCTCACGGGTCGGGTCGGATCCATGACGCCAACCACCTTGGTCTCGTCGCTGCGGTTACCAACCTTGGAACTGTTCACAGGAAGAAGAGATTGCCCAGGCAGCGAAGATCCACCGTCACCACCACCCCCACCTTGTTTCTCCAGATGCACCACTCCGACAACACTCTCCCCTCTAAGCAGCACGACCCTAATTTTCCATCTTCAACTCCTTCCGCCTCCTCCTCTCTCCAGTCCGTTAAACCCTCCACTCCTCTCCGGCTCGCCGCACGTGTGAGTCACCCCTTCTCTCCTTTTTTTTTTTTGCGTCTTCCAATTCTTCATTCTCAAGATCTCATCTTATCTTATATACATACCCCCATTCTCAATTGGGTCCTTGCTATGTCCTCGCGATATTGTCTTGCTCGTAATTTTCTAACCCCATTTTCGGATCTCATAAATTAAGTGTCTTTTGCAGTTTTTTTTTTTCGATTTTAAAATCGGTATTTCGTTTTAAGCTTCCCCCCATTTTACACCAATTATCTTCCCTAAACTCCGATTCAAACTCTAAAACATTGAAAAACTATTGCATCGGAGTTTTATTCAACTTTTTGGTGATTTGTTTAGATCTTGTGTTTGTTTGTCTCGTGATTCTCTTCTGCGTATTTAAATGATATTTTTTGTGATAATCTTTTCCAATGCTAAATGCAAAGTTTGTGATAATCTTATATATATAATATTATATATAATAATAATAATAATAATAATAATAAGTATAGTTGAGATTGGTACTATTTCTTTGTTTGAACGGAGTACAAGTTATTTGTTTGATCTTCAATTTGGAAACTGCGACATGGGAAGGGTGAGAATGGAGGGGCAAAAGTGGCAGTGCAGTAAAAAACTGAACTTAGTTTTTTATATTAAAAATTCCCCACCCAAAAAGAGACTAAAAGGAAACAGAATATAAGAAGAACAAGGTTTAGAAAAGAATCTCTTGTTGCGAAAACAAGATAAAAAATGAAATGAGAGTTAAGGCATTTTTTTTTGGACTAATTGAGTAGTGAAATGGAGTCTAAGAACACATAGCGAAACATACTTTGATCTTCTGGCTTACAGCATTGGGAATATTATAAGCCTTGTGTCAGATTGTGTTACCAAAAAAGATATACAAACACACATAAAAAAGAGGCACACTTTTATCACAACGATCATGATGAATATATATATAAGTACGGAATTAGTTTTATATTTGGAAAGGAGCCAAAATAAATTCCATTCGTCTTATATGATTATTTGACAAACATTTGTTGTATTACGGAAAAAGATTAATTGGACTATGTTTATGTTTTGAGAAACTTTTGCTATAGATGCTAGCTATAGTAAATCCATCTTCAACCTCGGGTCTCCTATTAATTGCAAGATTGCCAAATATAGCACCCCTACATAACAGTACATAGTTACTTCTCTCAATATTAATTAATATCCTTTCTTGGAAGACCAAATTCTTACTTTACATTGTGTAGAAAATTTTAAAAGAAAAAAAAATAAAAACTTATGATTAGTGGATATTGACGGCTCCATATTTGGGAAATTGTGTAAAGACATCATATAAGGCATGCTGGACAATGCTTTGGGTACTCTGCCTTTAGGACTATTAGCATATGGACTTGATGTCCTTATACAGGACATGGTGTCTTTGATGTCTTACACCAGAATTGCATGTTCTGTCACAATTAATTATAGTTTTCTCCATCTTTTAGTGGCTTTTAGGTGAATGTCTATTGCTTTTACCTGAGATTGACAATGGTCTAATTTGGTTTGTGTGCTTCTAGGAAATCGATCATAGAAACTTGAGGTTCCTTTTCAAAAAGGAGTTAAAGAACAGTGATGTTAGCTCCCTAAGGAGAATGGTATTGCCGAAGGTTTGGTCTATATTCAATATTGTCTTAACTTCATTTTTGTCTCATCTTCTTTTCTAATTCCACTATGACCTTAGGATATTAATGACTAAAATAATTGGGAAAGAAATTGTTACTTACAGAAAGCAGCAGAGACTTTTCTTCCACCGCTGGATTCAAAAGAAGGAATTTTGCTCAAAATGGATGACAAAGATGGTACTCATGCATGGAGTTTCAAGTACAGGTCTGCTACATACATATATTGAAGTGTCAGAAAATAAACTAAAGACATCATTTTACGACATTAGTTTTAGTTGTTGAATATGTAATTTAAGGTTGTTTTTTAATTAATTGTTACTGACCATTCAAATTCATAGTTCATTGTATTTGTATTGTATTTGAACAATGCAGGTTTTGGCCTAACAACAATAGTAGGATGTACGTACTTGAAAATACCGGTAAACTTTCTATTCATAGTAATTATTGTCTGACAAGGGCCCCTGAACAGATAAATTTTGAATTTTATAGTAATGAAATTATAATATTGTTGTGTCTAATATTTTCAGGAGATTTTGTCAGCACACACGGCCTTCGATTTGGCGATACCATTATGATTTACCAACATATTGAAAACAATAACTATGTACGTGCCGCCAAAAAAGTTCCATATTATTCATTCTGCCTTATAAAATATACATTTAAATAAAGTTCGTACTTCAAAGTACAATTATGATATCTTTCACTCATTTGAAAAAGTTATAATACTATTTTATTGAAATTTATTTCGGAATTAATATTAAGTTGATTCATATGAAATTTTATAGAATTCTATAATTTTTTTATTTTGTCATGATTCCAATAAAACTTTATACTAAAATATTGCGGTACATTTGGTGTTTTTTTTTTCTTAATCTTACAGGTTATTCAGGCTAAAAAAGCTTCTGAAGAAGATGAATTTGTGGAACAAAGTAGTGAGACTATGAACGACATGTTCCCGAGTGACTTGGAGGTGAACAAACCAGGTTGTTTCAACATAAACTATCCTGCAGTGAATGATGCTGGCATGTCGTTCATATATGAGACTACTTTCTCAAATGACTCCCCACTTGACTTTTTGGGAGGATCAATGACGAACTTTTCAAGGATTGGACCAGCTGATGAAACCTTTGGTTCTGTTGAAAATTTGTCCCTTGATGACTTCTATTAAACCATGGCACAACCACAAACAAACTAATTAATATGCTGCTAAGACCAGTTAAGGTACTAAAGTCCTTTTCTTTTGTTGTCTACTGATGAACATGGAAGGATTTGAGTCGAATAAAAGAGTAGCCAGTGAGCATGTTTTGTGTTCCTCTCTCTTGAACAAGTGAGACTGCTCTGTGATGTATTAATTCCTTATATTTATTTGATACATCTATATATATAAATTATCTTCGCAATACAAATTCAGCTATGCTATCAGAGTTCTCTTATTTTAGTTCTGCTGTGCGTATATATTCTATTACAATGGCTGCATGACTCAGTAAACAGAAGAAAGATTTCAAGTAAGGAAATCTGTATTATATATTGTTCATCAAGTAGATGTTTCAAATCTCATTCCCGCTTTCATGTATGGTGCTAATAAATGTATTTGTGAAGTTTTGTGCAAGATAACTCCTTGAAGAAACATATACTCTGGTGTTAGATTGTTGAAGGGTTTCAGTCCGCATGTCTCAGTCCGCATATTAACAAGAAACGCAATTCAAAAATGAGTTAGCTGGGATTTTGCTAAAATCTTTGTCAACACTAGCAATAATTTTTAGCAAGATGGAAAAAGTATACAGTTATCCATTATCAACATAATAGTTTTGAAACTTATTCATTCAATAAAAATAGTAGTTCTATATGAGTGAGAAATTTTCAAACCAACCTACCATCCAATGAATCTTTCACACAAATACAATAAGATAGAACACACATTCAATAAAGTTTCCACACACAATAGT